AAAAAAAAAAAAAAAAAAGAATTGCCAAAGAATGGAAAAGACCCCCCAGAGTCCAAACTGAAAATGAGTGTGCTCTCTCCCCCTGGATAAGGGAGCCAAATGGTGAGCCTCCCCCAGTTGCTGCCGAGTGTTTCAGGGATGAGGAAGGGGCAGTTCCATGTTGGTTTTGCTTATTAAATGAAGGCTTGAAAGCTTGGATAAAACAACCTGTCTGTCCCTGAGCCTGTGCACAGCTGGTCCCAGCCCCTCAGGCCCCTGGTCGGAACCTGCTCTGGGGAAGGACACATCAGTCCACACGGAGGACTCCCAAGGCAGGGGCTGCTGGTCATGGAGATGCCCTCTCCCCCTGCGCTTACACGCACTGGCCAACGTGAAGCCCGTGACCCATTGTTAGGGGCCGGGAAGTAGGCTATAAAACACTGTATTTAGCTGACCGTTGAACAACACGGTTTTGAACTGCATGGATCCATTTAATACCTGGATTTTTTTTCTCAATAAATATATTGGAAAAGTATTTTGGAGACTAAGTTTGAAAAAGCTTGCAGATGAACCTCGTAGCCTAGAAATACTGAAAAAATTATGTGTTGTGAGAAAAGAGCATTCAGTACATGTAATCTATAAAATACGTGTTCATTAGCTGTTTGTTACTGGTAAGGCTTCCAGGTAACAGGCTAGGCTGTTGAGGCTGTTGATGAGTCGTCAGCTTTGTCAGAAGTCATGCAGACTTCCGACCGCACGGTGGGTTGGTGCCCAGGACCCGCATGTTTTGCAGGCACATGTAGTGTTTCCAGTGCTGGTTAAAAAGCAAACAGGAATATTCATGTTTAAAGGAAAGCATCTTGAAGAATAGTCACTATTTTTTTATGTGAATTTTGTTTCTGAAGTTTTACAAATACCATGACTTTTTTTTTTTAAGATTTTAATCTTTTTTTAAGATTTAAAATACCCAGTATGGGGCTCAAACTCACAACCCCAGGGCGCCTGGGTGGCTCAGTCGGTTAAGCGTCGTCTGCCTTCGGCTCAGGTCATGATTGCAGCAGGGTTGTGGGATCGAGCCTCACGTCGGGCTCCCTGCTCCGCGGAGAGTCTGCTTCTCCCTCTCCCCCCACTCATGCTCTTTTGTCTCTCTCTCACATAAATAAAATCTTTAAAAAAAAAAAAAAAAAAAACTCGAAACTCTGAGATCAAGAGTCGTACACTCTATCAACTAAGCCGGCCAGGCACACCCCCGTACATTTTTTCTGTTTAAAGTTTTTATTATGGGAAATTGAATACCTTTATAAAATTAAAGAAGGCAGGCCCCTGGGTACCGTTCACCCACCCCAACCCCTCTCCGCACAATTGCTAATCCGGTTATCTGACACCCTTGCCCCATAAAGCATTTTGGAGCCGTTATATCATTTTATCTGCAAATACTTTAGTATTTGGTTCTAAAAGATACTTGACCAGGATTGCAGTCCACCAAAGGTTACTTCTGGGTACCCGGGATTCCAGCTGACAGCTGTCTTGTTTTCTGCTTGGTGTATTTGGGGGGGGGGGGGGGTTAAAGAATTAATTAATTAATTAGCGAGTGGAGGGAGGGGCAGCAGGAGGGAGAGACTCCCAGGCAGACTCCGTGCTGAGCGCAGAGCTCTTTGCGGGGCTCGATCCCACGACCTCTAGATCATGACCTGAGCTGAAATCAAGAGTCAGATGCTTAACCGATGGAGCCACCCAGACGCTCGTTTGAATCTTCTTGCAACATATAGGTTGAAGACAAAATGTAGGGTTTTTAAAATTCATTTTGAAGTATGCATAGATCCATCAGAAGGTGCAGAGAGAGTGTACCCTTCACCCCCTTTCCCACAGCGAGTGCATCCTAAGTAAGCAGAGACCGACGTCCCTAACTATGGCGACTACCCATTCTCCGTTTCTGTCATCTTGTGGCTTCAGAAATGTTACAAGAGTGGAATCCTACCTTCTGAGACTGGCAGGCATTACTGGCGAGATTTGGGGAGGCCGCGTGCTCCGGCCGTCGCCTGGAGGTGGCTTGCATCGTGCGCTCCCTCAGGGAGCCATCGCCCTCCCCTTGTGCAGTGTGGCTGTGGTTTTCATTGTGCTTTCCCTCTGCTGCAGCTGAAGCAGTTCGAGCGACTGGAGCAGGAGGTGTCCCGGCCCATAGACCACGACCTGGCCAACTGGGCGCCGGCGCGGCCACTGGCCCCGGGGCGGACGGGCAGCCTGGGGCCCTCGGACCGGGAGCTGCTGCTCTTCTACCTGGAGCAGTGCGAGGCCAACCTGACCACGCTGACCAACGCAGTGGACGCCTTCTTCAGCGCCGTGGCCACCAACCAGCCGCCCAAGATCTTCGTGGCGCACAGCAAGTTCGTCATCCTCAGCGCGCACAAGCTGGTGTTCATCGGGGACACGCTGTCGAGGCAGGCCAAGGCGGCCGACGTGCGCAGCCAGGTGACCCACTACAGCAACCTACTGTGTGACCTCCTGCGCGGCATTGTGGCCACCACCAAGGCCGCTGCCCTGCAGTACCCGTCACCTGCCGCTGCCCAGGACATGGTGGACAGGGTCAAGGAGCTGGGCCACAGCACCCAGCAGTTCCGCCGGGTCCTGGGCCAGCTGGCAGCTGCCTGAGAGCCGGTGACCACAGGGATGGGGGTCAGGGGAGGAGGGTACCTGCCCCGAGAGAGTCGCCATGCTGCAGGCATGGGGACAGGCGCCCCAGCTCTGTCCGGGCCTGGTGCCCCAGACTGTCCAGGGATTTGTACATAGTTAGGATGGGGCAGGATATGCGACCACGCCTGCTCAGAGCCCAAGCAGAGCTGGGCCCCCGGGGAGCCAAGGCTGAGGAGTGGGCTGGTGGTCTTCCCTGTGTACACGGGGGGCTGGGGCCCAGAGAGCCCTGGGCCATGACCCACATGGCCTCAGAGGACCCCTTGAGCTGATCCTAGCCCCACAGCGGTGCCAGGTCCCCCGTCCCCCCACAGCGCAAGCGCCACTGTACCAGGAGAAAAACTCTAGAACACTATTTTTCATTATTGGTTTTCCAATCATTTGACTAATAGTCTACATTTAAATAAAATTTTAAAAATGAAAAGCCTCTGATGTGAGAGTCAGGAGGGCTCATGGATGTGGGCAGGTGTGTCCTTGCTCTCAGATGCCACGGGGTAGGACCTGCAGGTTGAGGCGATTCGGGCTGAGGCTGTGGGCGGCTTCTTGGGAGGGTGAAGAAAAAGTGGGTCCCTTCAGGAGAAAACCAAGGTCCTGGGACACAGGGCTGGGCCAGGGCTCTTCTGCAAGGTGGGAGCAGGTCTGCCAATGGCCCCAAGACCTTGGGAGCCCAGGCTGCTGGAGAGAAGTTGAGCCGTCCTCCGACAGCAGGGCCAAGGAGGGGTGCGGCCCGCGGCAAGGTCAGTGGAAAGCCAGCGTGGCCTGAAGCAGCTCCAGGAGGGCGCTGGGCTCTCCTGGGGCCTACATTCCAGGGCAGAGAACCCACTGAGGGCACCACGGAAACTCGTTTTCACAGACCTTGCCCAGAACTTGGCTCTCAGAGAGGAGCTCATTATTTCAGCTGTGGGACTTCTTCCAGAGCATCTTTTCTGGAATTACACATAGACTTGGCCTCCAAGTTGGGGTTTGGGGGCCCAGAGGGCCCTGGCCCTGAGTCAGTGTGTCCTCCCCCGGCCTCTCGGGGTATGTCCGGCACCGTGGGGGAGGCAAGAGCCCTGGGACTCAGGAAGGTGCGGCTCCTGGCGCTGACTCTTGTGCATGTGACCTTGGGCCTCGGTCTCTAACTCTACGAAGAAAGGGCAGGACCTGTCAGCCCTCTCGGCTCTAAACTCCACAGCAGGGACCCCAGTGAAGGCAGCCATCCTTCCTGCCCACCGCCCCCCAGCACCCTGGCCAGGACACAGAAGTGAAGAGGCGTGTGGTTGCTCTCAGGGTTTTATTTGGGTTCTGCAGAAGTGGGGGGTGGGGCGGGGGTTCTCTAGAACCTCGAGAACCCAGGGAATGAACTTGGTGACGTTGTTGTACACCCCTGGTGAGAATGGGTGGCACCAGCTACTGCCCCAGGACACGATGCCCACCAGGGTCCAGGCTCCGTCTTTCTGGCAGACCAGGGGGCCACCAGAGTCGCCCTGCAGGAGGAGAAAGGACTTGTTCCCAAGCCCGAAGCAGGGTGCCAGGGCCCCAGTGTGCCCTGACCTGCCCCAGCCCAGGTTCTGTGCAGAGAAATGACCAGGGCGGGCACAGTGACTGAGCAGGAGACCCTTCGATGTGGGCCCCACGGCAGCCGCAGCTCCGTCACCGACTCCTGGAGGGCCTGGCTGGGGCAGGTGGCCGACCCTCTGACCCGGCCAGCGTCTGTACAGTGGGCCGGAAACCTCCGCCACCCCGCCCCGCTGCGGGGCGGCTGGCGTGAGGATGCCACGGCCCCCGGGAGCCCCGCAGCACGCCCCGGCCAGAGCGAGCCCTGGGTCCGAGGCACCTGCTCGGCGGGTCCGGGCTTTGGCCGCGCCCGCTGGCGGGAGCGAGCGGGAGGAGCCGCGCGCAGAAAGGAGCCGCGCTCCCGGCCTGAGCAGGGGCGGGGCGAGGACGGCGAGCGCGGGCGGGGGTGGCGGAGCCGGGCCGCACCTTGCAGGAGGAGACCCCGCTGGCGCCGGCGCAGATCATCACATCGGTGATCTTGCTGCCCCAGAACTTCTGGCACTCGGCGTTGGACAGGAGGGGCAGGGCCGCCTGCTGCAGCTTGTCGGGGGTCTTGTTGGCTGGAGGGACACAGCAGGCCGGCGGGGGTCAGGGCCCCTCCCCCGCCCACCCCACGGCGGAAGCACTTGGGACGCTGGAGGAGGGGCCGCCGCCGGGGAAGGGGAGACCCGGCCGACCCGGGCCCCGAACCACAGCTGGACGTCGGACTCCCAGCCCGGACCCCGGGGCCAGCGGAGCACGGCCACCGGCCTCCAGTCCGGGGAGGAGTCCGGCCTGGAAAGGGGGCAACGTGGACCTGGCTGCAAGTTCGTGAGGGCGATGCTTGCTGGTACGTCGGTGTTTCTCGGCCAGTTAGTCTTCAAGTACAGAGCGCTTAAGCTCATCTCTATTCATGTTTGGTAGGTTTTTCATTAAGAGGGTTTTAAATAAAGAAACAGAAAGATTTATGGCTTGCACTTTACGTGCTTGGGACTTAGACCAAAAGCCAGAATGAGTCTCGCTTCTGACAAGGCCCTGGCAGGACGCTCACAGCCGCAGTGGGTCTTGCCGCAGCCCGTGGTGGTGCAGACGGAGCCCGCGGGGAAGCTGGTGCTGGCGCTGGGCAGGCACACGGGGGACACGGTGCTGGAGAGCGGGGCCGGCCGGCGTGGCCAGCTTCAGCAGGGCGATGTCGTTGCTGTCTATAATCCTGTCCCACAGCGGGTGTTCAAAAACCTGGGGACACGTGGTGGGGGCTGGGCAGAGCTCAGAGGGAGGACTTGGGGGATTGAAGTGGGGGGACAAGGCCTGGAGCCGCAGAGGGCTCAGCGCCAGGCGGACGGTCGTTGAGAAAGACGCACAGATGGAGTTGCACAGACAAAATCTCTGGAAACTGGCGTTTGACACATTGGCGATATTTAGTTTCTATATTTTTGTGCTTTTCTACCATGAGCAAAACTTAATTTTACCATCAGAAACAACCTTCCGTATTTGTAAAGGAGCTTTGTTCCTTGGGAAAGAAGGCTCTGGACCGAGAAGTGCAGGGGTGAGGCCCGAGCAGGTTGGCCGGGATCGTCTGTGCCCACACACCCTGCCCCCCTTGCCCCTCCCTCCTCCCGGGCACGGGGGGGGGGCGGTGCGGGGAGCAGCCCCACCGCAGCCTGCCCGCCTGGCGGTCCCTCCGCGATCCTCAGCGCCTGGACAGCCTCGTCATCAGAGCCATGATCAGACACCCCAGCCACCACATGGTGGCTCTTCCTGGAGAGAGAGGGGGTGGCAGAGGGTGCTCAGGCTCTGGCCACCTCGGAGGGGTGTCTGGGAACCGCGCCCGGTGAGGGAAGCCCCGGCCGAGCCACAGGGACCTCGACTCCCACGGGGACCCGGGGGCCTGGTTCCCCATTTGTGCAGCGAGGGCACAGGCCTAGAGCTGCTCTCCTGGACCAAGCGGGGGTCCGAGGCAGTGGGGGGCACAAGGGTGGGGGTTTTCTCCTGCAGCTGGTGGCTCTTGCCTGTAGCTAGGAGGTAGGGGCAGCTTCTTCCCCACCCGCCGGCTGCCTCAGACCCTTCCCGCCAGGGGGCAGTGCCTGGGCAGGGGGGTTGGGGAGGGAGTGAGGGTGGTTCCCCGAGCCCGGGCCTCACCTGACCCTGCAGTGGGCGACAGTGAGCACCCGGTGCTGGTTGATGAGGGAGCCCCCGCAGAAGTGTAAGCAGGAGCCAGTCTGGGGAGAGGGGAGAGGGACGGTCAGCTTCGCCTCTCCTGCCTGACCCGCCCCCAGTCTAACCCGCCCCTCCTCAACTTTCCCCTTACCTGCAAGGACACCTGCCAGGGCCAGGAGCTGGGGACAGCGTCCTCCCCACTGACGATCCGGGACAGGCCACTCAGCTCGGGGTGGATGGCGAGGACTCCGCAGCCTGGGTGCCAGGGCCAGGGTAGCTGGTCAGTGGATAGGGCAGGGGGAAGACCCGGCACTTCCAGGCGTCTGTGGCCACCTAGCACCCGGAGCTTTGGCCACTGCAGGGCACTCAGCCCCTCCTAACCCAGCCGGCCGCTGGTGCCCTTGTGGAGGGTCCTGGAGGCTGGAGGACCTCTGGAGTTAGAACCTCTGGGGCCCGGAGCTAGAAGCCTGGGTCCGGAGACTCCCTATGTAGCTAGCTCCCCAACCCATTGTGTGCCCCGAGAGGAGCCTCCATCCCGCTCTGAACCCAGGGTCCTGGGTCATGGGGCTGGGATGTCCTGCTTGAGTCCCTGGTGCTCTCACGGCCCCCTGAGTCTGCAGCAGGAGCAGGTCGGGGTCAGAGTGTTACTCCACCCGGAGCAGCACAAACCCAGGAGGCTGCCCAAGTTGGGAAGAGAGAAGAGGCAGGGCAAAAGGACGGGCATGGAAGACGTTCCCGAGGCAGAATTCCTGTGGCTCGGGGACACATGTGGATGCTGGAGGAGCCCGGACGACCTCCTGCTTCTGAGCCGATGGAGGAGGCCAAGACGAGGCAGGTCCAGCATGACCAGTGGAGTTCGAGGGGCCCGAGGGACCTCTAGGCGGAGGAGGAGTGGGGAGCCCAGGAAAGGCACCCAGAGAAGCTGGCGGGGGGTAGCCAGCGGGGCCGGCAGGGGGTCAGCTGGGGCGGGTGATGAGAGGTGCAAGGACTTGGCCCTCCAGGTCCCAGCTTCTGGGGGTGCGGGGGGCCGGGGGTGGGAGAGGCTTGGTCTGGGGCTGCCAGGCCTGCCTGAACCTTGCGCTTACTGGAGCTGCTACCAAAGAGGAGAAAGCCAAGGACAACCCAAAGAAAGGCCATGGCGTGTGGCTCAGGAGGTGGGATGGGGCTGCCCAAATGACCCCCATTATATTCCCCTAGCCCACCAATTACAGCCGGCCTCGCCATCCCTTCCTTATCATGAGTCCCTGGGCTGAGGAGCACCTGACTCCTGTGCAGGCCTGGGAAAGTCGCAGCCCTAGGGAGCTGCTCCTGGGAAGGTTCCTTGGAACCACAGGTGTGTGCGGCCAGCAGGTGGCTCATCCCCCAGCTGTCCACTCCCCGGGGGTGGGGGCCCTGAGCACCTTGAGCAGGGCCTGGATGGCCAGGACCCTGCTGCCTACGAGGGTGGGAGCAAGGAGTGAGGGGTGGGGGCCAAGATCCCACTTCATCTCTTGGGAGCAAGACTAAAAAAGGGCCCTCCAGGGACCTCCTGCCATTCGTCCCAGTGAAGATGCAAGTTCAGGAGCAGAATGAGGTCTCAGGGGCCCCAACACAGGAGAGCACATCATCAATGTGTCTTTTATTGGTTTATTGAGGCTTTGTGGGAGCAGGTCAGCAGGGACGGCAGGGTGGGGCTGGGGACTCAGTTGGCTGCCAGGATCTGCTGAACCCAGGGCATGAGCTTGGTGACGCGGGCATACACGCCAGGACTGG